ATCCACATTCTATGAGGACGGGAAAAACTGAAATCTAGAAAAGCAAAGCAGTTTCTATTGGAAAGGATGAGGCAAAGAGTTTTTCGGGGAGATTCTGTGACCATGAACTAAGGGTCTAGATCATAAAACGTAATTATTATGGTTCCCTTGGGTTCCTAGTGGAACATAAGGCTTCAACTACACTTCTCCACTTGCCACTTCTGTCTTCTGCTGTACTTTTCACCTGCATCCATGTTAGTCCATACTCTTTCAACTCCTCTTCACACGATCTCCATGTCACCCCTGCACCGACGTCCCACTCGCCGCTTCCCTTTCGGGTTCCACTCGAGAAATGGCCTGACGCCGGCGCGATGTCACCCAGCGGCCTTCTTCTCAGCGAGTGTCCAATCCATCTACACTTTCTCCTGCATATTTGTTGGGTGATTGGTTCTTGTTTTGTTTGTTCCCATAGTTTCTTGTTGGTGATTCTTTCCGGCCATCTGATCTTCATTCAGTATAGAGCGAAGACAGTTAGTTGTTGATAAAGGTCTGCAATAGCCTGTTGGAAATATTCTTTGTGACCCACCCGCCAAGTTTGTCATCCGATCCGTATAGAAGAACTGACTTGACGTTTGTATTGAAAATCCTAATTTAACCTCGCCTTAATTACTAGCTCGCTAGTTTTCTAGCCGGTTCCAAGCCCGGATAAGAAGGGAGGGTTGGGGGGTGGCGCTAGCAACTCCACCCCCAAAACTTAACCAAATTGCTATAGAAACTTTAACGCACAAATATATTAAAAATTCTAAAAATATAAAACGTAATGCTCGACTTAATTTCAACAAATAGGTTCTTTCACTGCCTAGTCAGTCATATGGGCCGGTAATAAAAAAAGGAGGCGGTGATTCAGGTGAATGCATTTTCACAGTTTCTAATTACGCATCCTGTGCTTGTAGCTCAGAAGTAGTAAGTGCTACATTCCGTCTGAAGCTATCCAGTTTGCTACAGAAAGCAAAATGCTCAGTTTCAGTTTTAATTTCATTAGAAGGTGACAGTAACCATCAAGCAGGGAAGGTGTTAGTTGAGAAAGCATTGGTTCGAGTTAGAATAAAGTTAATTTAGGCGTATTTCCACGTTAGGGTTAGGTTAAGGAAACATTAGGGTTATTGTTAGGAATAGAACTAGATAATTACATACATAGAACGTGGTTAAATTACTCCAGTGATACTCCAAACCAAAACTAAGAGGTGTTTTTGTTTGTTTACTGAGAACGGTACCCTGTGTAACAGTTTGGTGCCATCTTATAGATAATTCGCATGAATATACCATTTTATGCCCGAAATTCGCCTTTGTCATGGGGTTGTTGCACTTAAGGTCAATTTTCCGTGAGTACTGACTGGTGCTTAAAGTTTCGAACTTCGCCCCTTGTAGAATGACGGCTCTTCATTCGACCCAAGCCGAATAATAAATCTTAGGAAAGGCTTGTGTATTCGACTTCATGAAATTTTGAGAGAATTCGACAGGATACCATCAAACTCCTTAAAAATTGAACAAGCGAGTGGTTATTTACAAAGTCCCATATTCACGAACTGGGACGGTACCGATGAGGATATCAAAGCGAGGATCAACGGGTAAGCAAGACAAGTCCTCATTACTCCCAAGTATGTGTGGAGGTCAACAGCACTCAGTATGAAAAATAAGATCCGGATTTCCAACTCCAATGTGAAGTCAGTACTACTCACTGTACGGATCAGAGACTTGACACCGCGTCATGAAGAGCACATTAAACAAACTACAGACCATCATCAACAGCTGTCTTGGCTCAACACTTCGCTCAAGATCAGATGGCCAACCAGAAAAGATCAGCAACAGGGTGGGATCTCTGGGAGCGAACCAACCAGGAATCGATTGTGCAACAAATAAGCGGGAAGAAATGGAGATGGATTGGCCATACTCAAACCATCAAGTGGCATCACTAGACAAACCATCACTCGAGTGGAACCCGAAAGAGTGGTGACGAGTTAGTCGTCCAAGGGTGACTTGGAGGAGGTCATGTGAAGAGGAGATGAAAGCATATGGACAGACTTGGAGCCAGGTGAAAACTCTAGTAGAGAACCGAAAGCAATGGAGACGCGCGGTAGAAGCCCTATGTTCCTCTAGGAACTAAAGGAAATAATAATATATTCACGAATCGACAGTGATAGTCGTCTATCACAATTTTGTTCAGATTTTAATCTATAACTAACTGAAAACCTTTACAAAGTGAAGTATAAGAAAGTAACTTTGCATGAGTCCAGAGTTGCTACATTTTGAAAAAACGTATGAAGTAGGGAAACAAATGTAGTGAAACTATAAAGGATGGGAGAGACAGGAATTAGATAAAGAATACTGAAGTGTTTTAGAATCTAAGGAGTTATATTTAGTCTATCGTAGGAGGCAGTCAATGACTTGTATTCAAATATAAGTAGTGGTCAGTAGGTCCTTGTTGCCCTACTCAACTGCTTAACTCTAGAAGACTAGTCCGTGAAGACTTAATGGTCTGTCTGTCTGTCTGGATTCAACATAGAACTTGGCACCGAAGTGCACCAGTTCGAGTTGCCACTTTCCAAATAGCACACAGAGGTAGACAAGAAGATGAGTGAAGAGAATCAATACAGTCTGACAAGTATAAGAGTGAAACAGAATGGGTAATGGTAGAAAGGAATATGAAAGATTACAGAGACTGAATACATCTGCGCTGGCCATTGACAACGATTTTGAGCCATGTCACCTATTGTCTCCAGCCATTGATTCCTAGAGTCCCGAGGGCCCCAACCCGGACGGAAGTCTGCATCTCCCTACCTGACCGACTCAGTTTAACTGTCAAGGATTTCATGGATTGATGAGGCCATGTTTTTGTTTGGCCACCACTAGCTCTTTTCCAATCTGAACCTATATCAGCTAGCAATGCCCGTCGGGAGAGGCGGTGGTTAGGCATGCGCAGCACGTGACCTAGCCATCTCAATCTATGTAACTTTATAGCCTCGTCGATTGATTTTCCTTCTTTGCCCAACACTCTACGCCTAACGTCAACATTACTTACCTTGTGAAACCACCTAACGTGAGACAGAGATCGCAGACATCTATGATCGAAAGCAGTCAACCTTTTCATGTCTTCAACGCGTATTGGCCATGTTTCAGAGCCATAGAGAAGGACGGAGCGAACTGATGAGCAGTACACACGTCCCTTGGTTGATAGCCGGATGTCACGCCTACGCCAGAGATGGTGTAAGTCAGCGAAAGCAGCTCGAGCTTTTCGGATCCGTGCTGAGATTTCATCGCCAATCAGTCCGTTGGTGCTAATACAACTTCCCAAATAGGTGAAGTGGTCAACATGTTCTATCACTTCACTCCCTATCACTAAGTTAGGGGTTGACGTGGTCCAGTCCTGTAGCAGCATCTTACATTTCGTAGGGGCGAATCGCATGCCAAACATACGAAGATTGCTGCTCAAGGTGTTCAGAAAGACTTAATGGGAAATGAAAGCTGCCTAGAGGCTGACTAACTGACTGACTAACTGCTTGGAAGCAAATTAGTTAGAAGCCTTCGTGATGACTACAATTATTGGTGGGTAGTGAAAATGAAGGAAGTAGAAAAGGCAGTACTACAGAAAAAAGCATGTTGTACTAAGTGAGACACATTACTCAATCTCATGCAGTCAGTGCTTTTATACGGATCAGAAACTTGACGGGCGGGTCACAAAGAATATTTCCAACAGGCTATTGCAGACCTTTGTCAACAACTAACTGTCTTCGCTCTATACTGAATGAAGATCAGATGGCCGGAAAGAATCACCAACAAGAAACTATGGGAACAAACAAAACAAGAACCAATCACCCAACAAATATGCAGGAGAAAGTGTAGATGGATTGGACACTCGCTGAGAAGAAGGCCGCTGGGTGACATCGCGCCGGCGTCAGGCCATTTCTCGAGTGGAACCCGAAAGGGAAGCGGCGAGTGGGACGTCGGTGCAGGGGTGACATGGAGATCGTGTGAAGAGGAGTTGAAAGAGTATGGACTAACATGGATGCAGGTGAAAAGTACAGCAGAAGACAGAAGTGGCAAGTGGAGAAGTGTAGTTGAAGCCCTATGTTCCACTAGGAACCCAAGGGAGCAATAATAATAATAGTAAAAACTGTTGATGTTAGGTGGACAGTGACAAAAAGGGTGGTGAGATGTAAAACCAGAAAGGGACAAGCTAACTGGGAAACATTTAGTGTATACAAATACACCTACGTATTCTTTTTTAATTCGTTTATGTTCCCAATGGAACATAAAGCTTTAAGTTAGAGTTTTTTAAGTTTCGGTAGCAGTGGTGTTTATTTTTACGGGATGGCGTTACTAGTCTCATGTCTAACCTTTCCTCCTTAGTAGTCTTATTACTGGCTTAGTGAGGTAAAGGAGTGCGTGTGTGGCCGGGGACCGAACCCCAAACCACATGTGTGGTCAGCGAGCATTCTACCGCTGTGCAACCAACGCATAATATACCTACTAGCCACATAATATTTAAACTGGAAGCAAACTGACGGCGGTGAAACTAAAAGCATGTTTTCAATTCTCGAAGTTTCCTGGTATCAAATTGATCTGTTTACGATGATATATATTGCCTGACTGTTTCCACAACAATTTAGGAATTAGTGTCTTGAAATTCCCTAGGGTAGCTTTTAAAATATGAAAATCACTTAAAGTCGAAATAGATAAGCATGTTAGAAAAAGAACCAACACACAGTCTTAAGAAAAATAATTTACAATTCGATAAACCAGAAATCAAAATCCCATCCCCTTACAAATAGTAAAATCTCATGCCTTAGTCAGGTGTACAATTAGATGTATCATAATGAAACAGTGATATTTACTGGAAAAAATAAACGGACTAACTCGTGTACTTCGAGTTAATATATTAAGCCACGAAAGTGAGAAAATATCCTGATGCTAAAAAACATTTAGACCTCAAAGATTCGTTAAAAATTTAAGACAAAACACACCTCGAAAATCCGTAGGAATAGAACTGCTACGCTCCATTTCTAAAATATGCTGATGAATTTCACGTAAACGTTTCTCATAATCCATATTTGTCCAGACAGACACCAACAGAACTGCTCTTCCGGCTATATGAGTTACTACAGTCATTAAGTCGCCCTTAGAAGACAACCGGAACTGATAACGTCGACCATCAATTGGAAGCTCTTCAAAGTGATAAATGTTATAATGATCCAAGTTAATATATTGGAACTTGTCCGAGAAAACTTCTTGTAAAGTATCAGCCTTAGCCTCAGGAAGGTCTATGGACATATTTGGACCTAAAGCAAGTAACGAAGAAAACAGAATGGTAATTATGAGTCATAGTAGTCTCATTTAACAACACTTGAAGATGCACTCCGTAAGTTTTATTTGAGGAAGAACACAGTGATGAAAAAATTCAGACTGAAAATTTCTATCAAGATACAAGCTAAAAGCATTTATATTATCCTCTGCCATTGTACTGGTTATAACGACGAATATTTTCAAGTTGCTGGTGTGCAGAGTGAAAACGTTTTTCGAAGCATTCCTTCTACTTGAAACTTGTTGATCGTTACACTAATCATTTCACAATACAATTACATGCATTGTCGCTCATTTAATAAAATATAAACAATCAGACTCGTCCATTGCATAATGTCAACCTCAATCTATTATCACTTGTGCTACTTAAATGTTATGCTTTCTACATCCGGCAACCTTAATATTCTGCAGACACTGATTGTTAGATCAGTTGTCTATTTCAAATGGAGTACACATTGAAATAGGTGTTATTTTCAAGCTACTTTTATTAGTGGGAAATGACGGGCGGATGAAATCCCTTCAGAACTATAGGAACGACACATTATTAGTCAGTGACCATGATATATATATATATATATATATATATATATATATATATATATATATGCTAAGTGCATTCACTCAGGGTGAAATCAAATTCCATCATATACTTCGTTAACAGTTGTTTACAATATACTTGACAAATGCCCCTAGACACAAGAATTAATAATTTAAGTAGACCGTTTAACCATAACGGGTGTACATGGATCTAAACACCAGTTAATAGCAAAGACACAAAATCTTTACATAATCCAAGTACATATCTAGAGGGTAATATCGGGGCAATTTAAGGTGGTAAATGAAGGGAGGTTTATCCAAATGTTGGCGATCCCTCAAAAACTCCACCAATGTCCCAAAATTGTTAATCAGGGAAATAAGTCCCCTGTTAAGAGAACCGTGGTGAGAGTGAATAAGGAAGACAACGCAAACAAAATTTCTCCGTTATATTCTCCCTCACACCCCTCGAAAATTAAGCTGCATTGGTCTTTCGATGCGAATATAAAGATTCTGCACTAATTTGTACAGACTAGATCAAATGTATTTCAAAAACAAGCACGACTACATGATGAAAGTGTCAAACTTTTCAGTCGGAGAAGTTAAACTATAACAGGCACCGACAACCCGACCGAAAGGTCTTTGAAATAATCCCGAAGCATGCAACAGCACTACTTATCAAGAATGTCTTGCTTGTATAACAACAGTAAAGAATAGACACCAACTTTAGGCGCCCTTGAAAAGCTCAATCAGATTCTTCCGGGTGAAAAGTGGTACTTAGCTCACAAAAAGTGTACCTATGATATATATGTAGTAAAAGTGAATCATACAGGGCATATATCTCTAATATGCTGCAAAAACGCCCCAGTTTCTCGTAGAAGTGGTTATAGACGTATCAAACCGATGTATTTGCTATTTCTGCAGCTGCAGCAAATACTGATTAAAATACGCAATATATTACTAAGGGAGTGTTGATTTCGAGAAGAAAGTGTCCAGAAAAATCAATATTATGTACGACTTACGGTGACTCTAAACTGTAGCAGACCAAATCGAAAATACCTAATGGACGAATTTATGCACAGAAATCGGCTTAACCTGACTACGAGGACTCCTGTGGGAAATTAGATTTGTTTTGGAACATATACAAGAATACTATCCTATGTAACCATTTCTTAACATTGTATTGCTTGTATATAGACGTTTATTTCAAATCACATAATCTTACCTTTTACGAATCTGATTAGTCACTCGGGTTTTGGGCTGCTATAGTTCAGAGTCACCCGACTTACCAACTCTTACAGACTTCCTCACATAAGGTGGTTGCATCTGAATACACAAGCATCAATAGCTCGTCAGTACTATTTTCAGAATCCTTATCCCTCCACATAGGCATATTCTGTCCTTCCTATCAACCCATTATCCACAGAGAATTCCAAAACCAAATCTAGGGGACACCTGCAACAAGGATTATGACTGGCATCAATCTGCAATGCTGAGCCATCTGATTGATCGAACCAAGGCCGTTTGACTTTGGTATCTGCTGTTTACTCTTGTCCCCAAAGCTTCTGTAATGCGTTTAAATTCAATGCTAGTTGAGGTAGTGTGTCCATCATCCGTCTCCCTAGCCTTGTCTAGACATTGGTTTATCGGTTATGCTTGACCAATGAAATATATAACAGTGAATACAGCTGTCTATATAAGTTTTGTTACAGATCATCCACAAGTATACCAGCATATGAGGCTAGCATACTACAGATAGATATATGCAGTCTACATATATACACAGAGGTTGAATCTGTATTTGTTAATCCCAGTGAATCAACGCTATTTAGAAGGTACCCAGTGACGAACATTTGAGCAGGAATATGAGTGAATATCATATGAGGTTTTGTGTTCCGAAACTTAGGAATTATAAAGTATACTAGTTGCTATAAACATTGCTAAAAATAGCAAGCTAACCCGCCAGTAGATTTAATTTGATCACGTAGCTAGGTCATGACTTAGGTTTTTAAAACAAAGCATTCGGAGATCATATATGTATCTCAATAACAAATGTGCAGTAGTTAAACTTCTCTTAGCCTCCTACATAATTTCGTTTGGTATTTTCTGTATACCTCTTAGGCTTAGATAAAAAAGTCATTCATTTCAATTTGATTTCCATGTTTTCTAAATCTGGGGATGCTGTTGAGCATAGCTAAGCAGTGCTTGTAGTATTTGCGTATCCCTCCCAGTTTTAAGGTTTCGCATATCCATTTTACTGGAGAACGAGGTCTATAGAGGAGGCCCCTATTCACAGTATTAAATTAGCGAAATTTCCACATGAGTTTTAGATAAATTCATTTTAAACAGACAGTTGTTCTGTTTACCGAAACCTACCTCCTCAGCAGTTCCATGCTGTGAATTTTCCTAATCTGACATATACTGTGCGTACTTCCTTTTGCCTTTCTGAACCATTGGTTTGAATAAATTGTTGTCATGCACAAACTATATTTTTCTTTTGATTATAACTTGATTCCACACCTTATTTTTGGTACAAGTATGGAGTTTTCAGCATTTGACATCGGTAGCCCAAATTCAGCAGGTTGATATCAGGTGTGCATCGGCCGGGTATTGAAACCCGGACCATGTACATGGTCGGCGACACTCCTAACCACTATGCCACCGACGCACACAGTTTTACATGAAATTAATAAAAGAAGTAACAGATGAATTACTGAGATAACCATAATAAAATAAGTAAAACAAAAATGCCAAGCGGTTGATACCATAAGTGCTAAAGTTACCGGCAAGACTACGTATTATATGAACGGCCACAGCGAGAAAGTGATCTGAAGAATTTCTTTCGGACGCACAAATTTGGTTTATTCAGATGAATCCCATTCACCTCTCCAGTGTGCAAAAGTTTCTTATCTGTGGGATAAAAAAATATGCCGTTACCTGTCGCGAGTGAAGTTGGCCATGGAGAGTCTGTTGTACCTTTCAGATGTATAGTACTTGATAAGTTAGTCCACCTAACCACGAAATGTAACTTACAAAATCCAAGTGAACGTTGGCGAAGTGAGCATCCGGTTGGAGTAATGTTCCTTAGGGTGACATTGTGCATCTGATTACTTTAGCCCTCGGGTATCCGATGCACCCCCTCACCCACTTTCGCACGTCGGGTTGTAAGAGTGACCAAATACATCTCGCTGAGAATATCATACCCGAAGCCATTGGGCCAGGGTAAAATCGCTGGCGGTAATTGCTGGATATGACCTAATAATTTTCAGAGCGAAGGGCATGGGCGATATTTTGTCGTATCGCGGTATATAGAATCGCAATCTACAGAAAATGCCAATTATTCAAGTTTCAGACAAGCGTTGTTTGCAGTGAGAATGTAGTGCCCATTGTACCCTTGAACTTTTGTTTAAACTCGCTCACTAATGTTTGACACACTTTGATCTTTTGAGTTGTGACTCTTCCGTACGTTCATTGGTTCGCTCTCTCGTTGTGCTTTCACTCTGCACACTCTCCGAGCCTACCTCCAGTGACGTCTGCAAATAAGTTGTACAACCTCTTCATTTATTGAATTTCATATTTCGTTGTGTAAAATACAATTGTCCCAGATACACTTGTCATACCAAGTCTTTTTACCTTGATTCAGTTCGTCAGTATTTGCACGTTGAATAGCGTACAGCTAAGGGGCGTAAAACGGTGAAGAAGCTTTGTGAGAATGTTTAGAGTTGAGGTCTACACTAAGCCGTAATAGCTCTTACAAGTGGTGAGCCCGTATATTCATCGTTCGCCTCCATTTTAGCTTGACGTGTTTTTAGTTCTTTTTCATATTGACTACCTTTTTTGTAAATATTCTTCACATAGAGTTATAAATTTTTATTCGTTTTTTTGACGTGTATTTGTCGTATTACCCCGTTAGTATATCCTTCTGTCCGCAAAATGGCTGACAACAGTGCTTCGCAAATGGCTATAATCTTGCAACTCCCCACCTTTTGGACACATCGTCCTGTTGCATGGTTCAACCATGTAGAAGCTTTGTTCACTCTCAAACATATACACTCACAGGAAACGAAAGAAAACTGGGTAATTGTGAGTCTCCCTGAAAATGTTATGGAAGAGGTTTCAGACGTCCTCATGGATCCATCCCCTGACTTGTACGAATGGCTCAAGCAAGCGCTAATTAAGCGCGTTGCACTCACAGACCAACAAAAAGTTCAGGAGCTCTTTCGTGATGTTCAACTTGGCGACCGGAAGCCCACTCAGTTGTTACGACAGACGAGACAGTTGGTCACCGACTTCCATGTAGATGATGCCTTCCTTAAACAACTGTGGTTGCAAAGATTACCACAGGCGATTCAGGGCATTTTAGTCCCAATCCACAAATTCCCCTTACCCGAGTTGGCCGAAGCGGCCGATAGGGTAGTAGAGACTACTGCATCCAACCTGGGCATTTCTGCCGCGGCCACTGACAGGCCCGCTCAGAGCAAAGAATCTCCGACTGGAGAGTCATCCAGCTTCGATACGGTGGCCTATATAACCAAGCTGTACGAAGAGGTATGTAGTATCAGACAAGAGATGAGAGCAAGAAGCCGCTTGGGTAGCCGCACAGATTCAACTCGTAGTAGATCACCGTCACGTGCCAGCAGTCGGCGTCGTAGGTTTCGAAACTCCCAGCCTGGAGTGTGCTGGTATCATCGGCGTTATGGTAAAAAAGCTCAAAAGTGCACTCGCCCGCGCACCTTCGATGTTCAAAAGTGGGGAAACTAGCAGGCCAGCACATGTTGGCGACTAACGTTGCTGGCGAACCACTCCCATGTCGCCTCTTCTATGTCACAGAACGTAACACGGGGATACGCTTCCTCATTGATACCGGAGCAGAGGTCAGTGTCATCCCACCCACAATAGGGGAGCGCAGGCGGCCAATGTCTTTACAGCTACGTGCCGCAAATGGTTCGCCGATAGCTACGTTTGGCAGGCGCTTTCTTGACCTGAATATTTGCTTGCGCCGAGCATTCCGCTGGGTCTTTCTGGTAGCGGACGTGACCACAGGTATCATCGGTATGGATCTGCTACAGCATTACCAACTACTCGTAGATACAGGTAAGCACAGGTTGATAGATTCAGCCACCAACCTCTCGATTAACGGTATCGCCACCGAGTGCCCAGCCCTCAGCCCTGTATATGCCACGCCCACTAGTACTGGTCCTTATGCTCATATGCTGCAATCTTTTTCGGATTTGTTCAAACCTAGAAGCGGCCTACCATGTGCGACTTCCAACGTCACACACCATATTGTCATTACGGGTCCGCCAGTTTTCGCAAAACCGAGACGGCTATCCCCAGAAAAACTAAAGGTTGTTAAAGCGGAGTTCGAGCATATGCTAGAAATGGGGATCAGTAGGCCATCCAGCAGCCCGTGGTCCTCACCGTTGCACCTGGTACCTAAGAGTAACGGTTTAGATTGGCGTTCCTGTGGTGATTACCGCAGACTAAACGCACAAACTGTTCCTGATCGCTACCCTGTCCCTCACATACACGATTTAACCGCCTCACTCAAGGGAGCTCGAGTATTCAGCAAACTGGACCTAACACGAGCTTATTACCAGATCCCCGTCGACCCCGTGGATATACCCAAGACGGCCGTGATTACGCTGTTTGGTCTGTTCGAATTTCTTCGAATGGCTTTCGGCTTACGGAACGCCGCCCAAACCTTCCAGCGTTTTATACATGACGTTTTGCGCGGGCTTGATTTCGCCTTTGCCTACCTGGACGACATTTTGGTAGCTAGTCGAGATGAAGCCACTCATCAAGTTCATTTGCAGACAGTTTTCCGAAGACTTGTAACACGCTCCCTCACACTAAACTTACCTAAGTGTCAGATTGGAGTCACTTCCTTGAAATTTTTGGGACAAAGGATAGACAAAGATGGAATTTATCCGTTATCTGACCGGGTGGAGGCTGTTCAAAACTTCCCTCTACCCACGTCTCCCAAGGCACTACGCACTTTTCTCGGGATGGTTAGTTACTACCATCGCTTTATCCCACAGTGCGCCCACATCTTGACCCCCTTGACTGATATGCTTAAAGAAAAAAATGCAAGTCTTTGGTGTTCACTAAGGAAGCCTCGACAGCTTTCGCAGCTATGAAGAAAGCTATTGCTGATGCCACAATGTTGATCCATCTGAATGTCCAACTCCCGATCAGCATTTCCGTAGATGCCTCTAACACTGCGGTAGGAGCCGTCCTACAACAGCGTATGTCCAATGCATGGCTACCGATTGCTTTCTTAATAATAATAATATATATTCTCATTTTTTACATGAGGGACGCCAGTTTACAGGCATCATCAATTCGATAAGTTACACATAATTTTCATAAGCATATTTAGTAAAGATTATATAATAAGGTACATTTTTTCCTAGCTATGTAGGGTACACCAATTGTATAGGCATGCATAAATATTGTTTTAACAATGACATATTCCTTCATGTTTATGCAGGAAAATACCTATTGTACAGGCATGGATAAGTTGTTATATAAATTTCACGTAATTTGATGTATAATGGATTTACAGTTTGGTTGTTCTTTCTGTCATTAGAGTCAGTCGGAACAGTCTGCTATAAAGTCTGTTTGTGTAGCACATAAAGAGATATAGAGATATTGTCTTCGCATTAACAAAAAACCCAGACATCAGATGAATGTAATACAGATATCTGGGAAAAATAAAGCTTGAAGTCAATTCTCCTACATAACTTTGTTGTGAACAGCACCCTTGGCTTAAAGTTTTTTGATGTATTGTGTTGAGATCAGCGATACATTTATTCCATTTTTCAGCAGTCTTATCGTAGTTTCATAACAGGAAAGAAATTTGATCGTGGAGGCGAAAACTAGATAAGGTCATGTTGGGTTGTTTTACTGCATCAAATGGTGCCGAGGTCGATTCCAGAATTCTCCATTTGCGCCATTTGTGTCTGCATGGCGGACTGTACTCGTAAGTTGAGTAAAATGTTGGAAA